AAAAAAAAAAAAAAAAAATACCTAGAGTTATAATCCTTCTTCAATGTATTTAATTTAATTAGGGGTTCCATATAATTGTAAGTCATTACAATTTGTACAAGAAATATAATGTTCTACACCTCCATGTCTTCCTTATTCCTCCCCTACAGCTCTGCCAAGAATAAACAGAACCATAGTGACTTCTCTCCCAGCAAAACAAAGGACTGGAACCCAGGCTCTAAGGGATGACAGCAGTCATTTTCTATTTAATTTTATTATTACTAGTTACATTTTTTTTAGGATTGTCATTATACATTATGAGTGAGTTAAAGGCAAAAAAATATATAAGTTAGAAGGGTTTTCCTAGAAAGCGTTTTATGTAATTCAGTATTACAGGCTATCTGCTTCCTGTCATAACCCTGAATCACACTGTCTGCCAGGTCAGTGTGGGCCATCCATCTGAGGTTGATGAGATATTTGATGCTATATCATATAGCAAAGGTGCATCTGTCATCCGAATGCTGCATGACTACATTGGGGATAAGGTAAAAAAAACAATTTAAAAATATTTCATTCTTTTATGGTGAAATTATAGAGTTTTGCATGAAAAAAAGTCTCACTTTATTTGGATTAAGTTCCCAAATAGTTTCTGGCTTGTCTTCATTTATTTTTAATGACCAAAAAGAATGAGAATTCAATTTATTTGAAGTTGATTACTATGGTCTCTTAGATGAATGATGTGCAAGTATGTTTTGGGAGTGGGATTGGGAGGCTGGCATAAAACTCGAGCAAGAGTAGAAGGCATAGAGTACACATTATTAAATAAAAGGCAGTAGGCATCAGTGGAATATGTGTATTTCAGCATATCTGATACTTGAGTATTTGAGTAAATTTGTTTCAGATTACTAATATGCAAATATACTATAAATTCTGAGATTTGACTTACCTGGATTTTAAAAATTGTGTTTTCTCAGGACTTTAAGAAAGGAATGAACATGTATTTAACCAAATTCCAAGAAAAGAATGCCGCCACAGGTAATCTTTAGTAGCTTGAGATAGAAATGGAGAGAAAGTATTATCACTCTATCCAGGCTGGACATTTTATTTTTGTTCTGAATACTTAACTCAAGGTCAGGATTCACATAATAAATGGAAATAAATTAGCCTTATTTGAAGCCATGTTCAGGTTGAATATCTCTAATCTCAAATTTGAAATGCTCCAGAATCTGAAACTTTTTGAGTGCCAACATGATAAGGAAATGCTCATTGGAACATTTCAGATTTTGGATATTCCAATTATAGATGCTAAGCTAGTAAATATAATGCAAATGTTCAAAAATCCAAAAAAATATGAAATTCAAAACACTGCTGGTCCCAAGCATTTCGGATAAGGGATACTCAATCTGTAATAAGTCATTGGGTCAACGTGAATCAGGACTCGTTATCCCTTTGGTCATCCTCCAGCATTCTGCTTTCCATAACTCAATACTTTGATATTTTGCCAATTTAAAGAGTCTGGGCCAAGTCTGGTGCCTCATGCCTGTAATCCCAGCACTTCAGGAGGCCAAGCTGGGAGGATTAATTGAGCCCAGGAGTTCGAGACTAGCCTGGACAACATAGCGAAACCCCGTCTCTACAAAAAATACAAAAAAAAATTAGCCACTGTGGTAGCACGTGCCTGTGGTCCCAGCTCCTCAGGAGGCTGAAGTGGGAAGGGTCACTTGAGCCCAGGAGTTTGAGGTTACAGTGAGCAATCATGGCACCACTGCACTCCAGCCTGGACAACAGAGCAAGACCTTGTCTCTGAAAAAAAATAAAGGGTGTACAGTCATTTGTTGCTTAACAACAGGGATATGTTCTGAGGAATATGTTTCAGGCAATTTCATCAATATATGAACATCATAGAATGTACTTACATAAACCTACAGTATGTCCTAGGCTATATACATCTAGCATATATGGTATATACCCTATTGCTCCTAGGCTACAAAATACCTGTACTGCATGTTACTGTACTGAATACCATAGGCAGTTGTAACACAGTGGTATTTGTATATCTAAACATTTCTAAATATAGAAAAGATACAATAAAAATATGGTATAAAAGATGTTCCAGCAGCTGGCTGATATGCCTATAATCCCAGCACTTTGGGAGGCTGAGGCAGGTACATTGCTCGAGTCCAGGAGTTTGAGACCAATCTGGGGACCATGCCAAAACCTCATCTCTACAAAAAGTACAAAAATTAGCTGAGTGTGGTGGTGTATGCCTGTAGTCCCAGCTACTTGGGAGACCGAGGTAGCAGAATCACTTGAGCCTGGGAGGTCAAGGCTGCAGTGAGCTGTGATTGGGCCACTGCACTCCAGCCTGGGCAACAGCAAAACCCCATCTCAAAAGAAAATAAGATGCAACACCTGTATAAGGTATTTACCATGAATGGAGCTTACAGAACTGGAAGTTGTTCTAGGTGAGTCAATGAGTGGTTACTAAATATGAATGCCTAAGATTACTGTACGCTACCATAGATGTCATAAATACTGTACACTTAGGCTACACTAAATTTATAAAAATAATTTTTCTTCAATAATAAATTAATCTTAGCTTACTATAACATTTTTAATTTACTTTTTAATTTTTTTAACTTTCCGATTCTTTTTGATGATTTTTTTTTTTTGAGTTGGTGTTTTGCTCTTGTTGCCCAGCCTGGAGTATAATGGCACCATCTTGGCTCGCTGCAACCTCCATCTCCGAGGTTCAAGCGATTCTCCTGCCTCAGCCTCCAGAGTAGCTGGGATTACAGGCATGCACCACCATACCTTGCTAATTTTGTATTTTTAGTAGGGACAGGGTTTCTCCATGTTGGTCAGGCTGGTCTCAAACTCCCAATCTTAGGTGATCCGCCAGCCTTGGCCTCCCAAAGTGCGGAGATTACAGGTGTGAGCCACTGCACCTAGCCAATTCTTTTAGATTCTTAACACAGCTTAAAACACCAGCACATTGTACAGCTATAAATGATATTTTCTTTCTAAAAAAGCTTATTCTATCAGCTTTTTTCTATTTTTGAATTTTTTTATTTTTAACTTTGTAAACTTTTTCTTAAAAACGAAGACACACCTAGCAGTTTGGGAGGCTGAGGTGGGCGGATCACTTGAGGCCAGGAGTTTGAGACCAGCCTGGCCAACATGGTGAAACCCCATCTCTACTAAAAATACAAAAGTTAGCTTTTTTTTTGAGATGAAGTTTCACTCTTGTTGCCTAGGCTCCTGTAATCCCAGCTATTCAGGGGGCTGAGGCAGGAGAACGGCTTGAACCCAGAAGATGGAGGTTGCAGTGAGCTGAGATCATGCCACTGCACTCCAGCCTGGGCAGCAGAGCAAGAATCCATCTAAAAAAAAATTAAAATCACAAACAAAGACAAAAACATACACATTAGCCTAGGGTTATGCAGGATCAGGATCATCAATACCACTGTCTTCCGGTCCCACATCTTGTCCCACCGGGAATTCTTCTGGGACAGTAACACCCAGAGTTCTTATCTCCTATGATAACAGTGCCTTCTGGAATATCTCCTAAGGGACTTGCCTGAGGCTGTTTTACAGTTTTTCTAAGTAGGAGGATAATCTAAAATAATGACAAAAAGTATAATAAATATATAAACCAGAAACGTAGTCATTTATCAAGTATTATGTACTGTACATAATTGTGTCATATGACTGGAATCACAGTAGGTTCGTTTACATTAGGATTGCCACAAACACGTGGATAATATATTGTGCTGCAACATTATGACAGCTATGAAGTCACTAGGTGATAGGAATTTTTCAGCTTCATTATAATCCAGTAGGATCACTGTTTAATATGCAGTCCTTCCTTGACCAAAACATCATTATGCAGCAAATGACTGTATCTAATTCTGTATTAGATTAAAATAAAATTAAGATACAGATTAAAAATACTTGTACTACATTACCTTTATGATACAGTCTGGACGTCTTTGTAAACTGTACAGTCTTGAACAATTCAGCCTTATCTCATGTTACTCCCAGTCATATACCCTCTGTTTTTCAGCTTATTGAATATGTTACTGTTATTGCTATTTTCTATCTTACACTTTCTTTTTTTGAGATGAAGTTTCACTCTTGTTGCCCAGGCTTGAGTGCAGTGGCGCAATCTTGGCTCACTGCAACCTTTGCCTCTCAGGTTCAGGTGATTCTCCTGCCTCAGCCTCCCTTGCAGCTGGGATTATAGGTGCCCACCACCACACCTGGCTAATTTTTGGTATTTTTTAGTAGAGACGGGGTTTCACCATGTTGGCCAGGCTGGTCTCGAACTCCTGACCTCAGGTGATCCACCTGCCTCAGCCTCCCAAAGAGCAGCGATTACAGATGTGAGCCACCGTGCTGGGCCGGAATGCCCTTTTCTCCCTTGTCTGTCTAATGAACAACTTACATCTTCAAGATGCGGACCAAAGTCACCTCTTGTGAAGCTTTTATTTACTTTAGATGTCCACCATTTTAGTACGTATCACATTATATTGCAGTTTTGTTTTCCTTACCACCAGTGATGTTGACCAGAAGAGTTTTACTTCAGTATTGTATCATCAGCATTGAATATTTTTAAACTTAGGTTAATTGAATGAGTATAACAGCCTTAAGTTTGTCAGTGATTATTTAGTAGCAATCTTGAACATGTTTCAATTTCTTTTTTCCTCCTTGTTTGAATTCATCTGTTTATCTTTTATAATAATTTGTAATTTTTCTTATAAATTAGAATGATTAAGTATATCTTGGAATAAAAGACCAGATTTGGCCAGGTGTGGTGACACATCTGTAATCCCAGCACTGTGGGATGCTGAGGCAGGTGGATTGCTTGAGCCCAGGATTTGGAGACCAGCCTGGGCAACATGGTGAAACCCAATCTCTACAAAAACTCTCAAAAATTACGGGCCGGGTGTGGTGGCTCAGGCCTATAATCTCAGGATTGTGGGAGGCTGAGCCAGGTGGATCACCTGAGGTCAGGAATTCAAGACTAACCTGGTCAACATGGCGAAACCAAGTCTCTACTAAAAATACAAAAATTAGCTGGGTGTGGTTGCACATGCCTGTAATCCCAGCTACTTGGGCAGCTGGGGCAGGAGAATTGCTTCAACCTGGGAGGCGGAGGTTGCAGTGAGCTGAGATCATGCCACTGCACTCCAGTCTGAGCAACAGAGCAAGACTCTGTCTTAAAAAAACAAACAAACAAACAAACAAAAAACAGCCAGGCGTTGTGGTGTGCACCTGTAGTCCCAGCTACTCAGGCAGCTGAGGTAAGAGGATCACCTGAGTCTGGAGGTTGCGGCTGTAGTGAGCCGTGATTATGCCACTTGCACTCTAGCCTGGGTGACAGAGTAAGACCCAATCTAAAAATATACCAGTTTTTATGATAGAATTTACTTAGTTGTGGAAGAGGGGTGACAAGGAGAATGTTAATTTGGCCCACCGTTTGTTTCCTGAATCTGAAAGAACCAAAGAAGTGTCAGCAATGTGTTGTCAGAAGTTAAATAAAATTTCTGCTTTAAGAAAATAAAAATATAAACATTTTAGATTATCATTGTTTATCTTCTAGAGGATCTCTGGGAAAGTTTAGAAAATGCTAGTGGTAAACCTATAGCAGCTGTGATGAATACCTGGACCAAACAAATGGGATTTCCCCTCATTTATGTGGAAGCTGAACAGGTAAACATATAAAGTCTTTCCATTTGTCTGATACTGTATTAAATGAAATTCATTACAATATTATCAAGTTTGCTTTTCTGTACTTTAAGTTTTCTAGTGACATTTAATCAGCCCTGTTACTGTTTTCTCAGTAATTTTACCCCCTGCATCATTAAAATTATCCATACTTAAGACAGAAAACAAAATGTTTATGTGCTTGTCTTGTCTCCAGGGAAAATACTATACATTTTTGATATAATTCTAAAAACACCAAATATCGTTTATTGTAGAAATGCAAGGTTGGTTTAACATTTTTCTAAAAATCAGGCCAGGCGTGGTGGCTTGCGCCTGTAATCCTAGCACTTTGGGAGGCCAAGGTGAGCAGGTCACTTGAGGTTGGGAGTTTCAGACCAGCCTGTCCAATGTGGTGAACCCTGTCTCTACTAAAAATACAAAAATTAGCTGCGCATGGTGGCACACGCCTATAATCTCAGCTACTTGGGAAACTTAGGCAGGAGAATTGCTTGAACTGAGAGGCAGAAGTTGCAGTCAGCCAAGATCATGCCATTGCACTCCAGCCTGGGCAACAGAGTGAGACTCTGTCTCAAAAAAACAAAACCAAACAAAACAGTGCATTGATTTATAATTACTACATTAACAGAATCAGATGCAAATATTGAATAATTGCTGATTAGATGTAGAAAAAAATTTGATAAAATTTCATGCACACGATATCATTGTGTAAAATTGGTTTTTAATGTTGATTGGATGGCAGTATGATTTTGATTAGAATTACAATTCATTAATTGAACCGTTATCTGAATTCAGAGAGGAGTACTTCAGTATGGGTTATACTTCAAAAGGACTGAGAATTACACATCATACTATAATGCCTACCAAAAAGTGATCTTAACTGAGTTTTATTAAATGAAATTGTTCTCTTTAATTTCCTTGCCATGGTTTTGTGAGCTGCATGGGGAATTAATTCCTGTTCATTTTTAGGGAAGTGAATTCATAGTACCTTTTTAGTATGTGTTTTTTCTTGTGGTCCTACGTTGTCCACAAAGCTAAGTTTTTTTGTTTGTTTGTTTTTGTTTTTTAATTGAGACGAGGTCTCACTGTATTGCCCAGCCTGGTCTGGAATTCCTGGGCTCAAGTGATCCTCCCACCTCTGCCTCCCAGAAGTGCTGGGATTACAGGTGTGAGCCACCTCGTGCCCAGCCAAAGCTAAGTATGTTTTACAAATAATTAATTTCTCAGTGTGGCAATCTAAGTTATAAATTTGCTTTTCTGCACTTTAAGTATTCTAGGTGACATTTAAACCAATTCTTGCACTCTCAAAATGCTCCCAAATTTACGTGGAACATTTTAATATATAAGCTTGCAAATTACCCTTTCAAAGCCAAATCTTAACTTTAAACCTGATTGGATTTTACAATAAAGTGTGCACATTGGAGGACCTCTTTTGGTTGCCCGAACTTGGAAAGGCAATTTAGGGATATAATTGATCATATTTGGTGAAAAAAAATACCTGTAAGTTTAGTGAACTACGATTGTGACCATTCTGTTTCCTTGCAGTCTTTTTTCTGCACTTTGGACTAGTCTATCATAGGAGATGACTAATTGAACTTGGTGTTCAGACTGCATATAGACTGACTTTTTAAAGAATATTAACATACAAAAATTATTGTTACTTTCACCTCTGGGCATTTAATACCCTCAAAACTATTGTACTTTTTTGCCTGGGCCAGGCACAGTGGCTCACGCCTGTGCTTATAATACTGGGAGGCCAAGGTTGGAGGACTGCTTGAGCTCAGGAGTTCAAGATAAGGCTGGGCAACATACTGAGACCTCATCTCTACTAAATGTCAAAAAACTAGCTGAACATGGCGGTACATGCCTATAGTCCCAGCTACTTGGGAGGCTGAGTTGGGAGGATTGTTTGAGCACAGGAGGTGTCAAGGCTTCAGTGAGCTATGATGGCACCACTGCAGTCCAACCTGGGCAACAGAGCAAGACCATGCATAAAAAAACAAACTATTGACCTGGCACTGTGGCTCAAATTTGTAATCCCAGCACTTTGGGAGGATCACTTATGCTCTGTAGTTTGAGACCAGCCTGGGTAACATGGCAAGATGCTGTCTCTATCAAAACAAAAAAACCCCAAAACAATTGAAATATTAATGATTACACATAAAGCAGATTATTAAGCCATAATTTTTTTTTTCCAAGCAGGACACACTTTAAGAAATAATAGTTTATCAGAACAGAGAATACCGACTGGGTGCGGTGGCTCACGCCTGTAATCCCAACCCTTTGAGAGGCGGAGGTGGGCAGATCACCTGAGGTCGGGAGTTTGAGACAATCCTGACCAACACAGAGAAACCCTGTCTCTACTAAAAATACAAAAAAATTAGCTGGGCATGGTGGCTCGTGCCTATAATCCCAGCTACTTGGGAGGCTGAGGCAGGAGAAACGCTTGAACCTGGGAGGCAGAGGTTGCAGTGAGCCGAAATAGCGTCT